CCCCCCCCCCAAAAAAAAAAAAAAAACTAATTCAACATCATCAATATAAGCTATAATATGATGCAAATGCCAAATAGATAGCAAGTCTACATAACATACAAACTTATTCATGACCTGTTGTACATCATGATGTATAGGAATTAACACATACCAGGCAATTCTAGTAGCTTGCCATTTCGATTCCACAACTCAGGTTCCAAAATGCTGAGCTGAATGCTAAGCATGTTTTTCACATCTTTATTCTCACCAAATACTTGGAGGTCCTTAGACCTTACTTTCATCTAAGCTTCTCATTAAGGGACTTCACCAATCTTCGAATTCAGCTGCTTTATCCTTGAGCTTCAGTACACGACTTTTTTGACTTGTTCAGTTATTTATATACAGCTACTAGGGAACGGCTCTTGAATCTGGCACTGCAGAAGAGATGATCAAGCTTTTCATATGAGAGGATATGTACAACTAACAGTCAGCTTATTTCATGGTTATCACTCCCACTAATGCGAGTCAGATCATGTAATCGTAGAGAAGCAAATGGTGGTCAGGCACAATGAGCGGCAAGTTTTCAATGTACAGGTAAAAACACCTTAGATTCTCCTTTGCAAGGGTAATTAAATCCACCACATCATTGTCATTTGTGAGAACCCATAAATCCCTGGAGCTCACTCTCTTCAGGCTGCCTCGGCAAAAAGGGCATGATTGAGATCGCACATTCCTGCAACATAGAACATTGTACATTTAACACATGTCCTCCTTATCGATAACCTACAAAATTGTTATGAGGAAATAGCAAACCAGTGAATATGGAAATGGGAATTGTTCACACCAGTCATGGAAGCAGTTAATGCACATGGAGTGGCCACAATTGGGCAATACCATCTTGGTACTATTTTCCATGCAAATCCCACACTCATCATCTCTCTCAGGATCTTTATCAGAGGACTTACTCTTCCCCTCAACCCTCTTCCTGGTCAAAATTTCAGAGCGTCGAGTTCTTTTCTTACTGTCTTCCATCAATTCCATTAGATCACCTTCAAGTTGCTGAAGTGAAGGATATATAACAGCTGCAAGAATTTTCCATTTAAATGACTATATGAAAGACCATGACATCCAAGAAAAAGTAAACATAGGAAACAGGAGTCTGAAGGTATCAAGTACGAAGCATATGAACAAAAGAACAGACCATAGAATTCCCTTAGAGAGGTCTTCCTTTCTTGTGAGGACATTGTTGGCATTCCATCAACATATATCTATACATTTAACACAACAATTTTTACAGGGGTCTTTACATTTAATTGGAAAGGATTGACAAGGGGAAATTAATAAACAAAGTAAAAGAAGGCAGTGAATGAGATAAAACGCCCACCTTGGATACAAGTATGTTCAGGAGGCCTAAATAACTTGGGAGGTTATCTGTACAACTATAGTCCAAATCCATCCATTCTATTAGAAATAGCAAGAATGGGGCAAAAGGGCTGTAAGACAATTTCATCTGAAAATAATCCCCAACACAATCTCGCGGAAGAGCAGCCGCCCTGTGAAAACCCCTCGAAACCACAATCAGTAACATAATTAATCAAGCATTTGCTTGCAAATTCGCAGCACAATAATAGAATATAAAATAGCATTAAACGTTAAGAATATTACAACCTCGTATGTTGGGAAACCATGAAGCTACTAAAAAAATAGCAAACGAAAATCATCATATGTAGGAACATTTATACAAAAATATTCAACAATCTTGGTAGTGACATCCAACTGTGTTGTCTTAATTCAAAATTTCAGAGGGCAGACACTTCAGAAAGAGATGAATTGGAGATAGAAAGGGTTTTCACAGACATTAAAGTCTCATCTTGAGGCATTTCTTGTCCCTTTTTTTCCCATTTTGAAAACCAAATGCATTAGTTAAATTTACCAACTTTACCTTCTGAACGATAAATAGGACCCAACTACGACAATGACATTTCAACCCACTGTCATCAGTATCACCATATCAACAATGATCAGAATATCAGAGTTTTAGAACCAGTTCTAACAACCGAGGAAACAAAATAATACATATAGGTCCTACAGATTTTCAGATTGAACGTAACAGAGGAGCAATATCACAAAAAGGGTATATAAAAGTACAAGAAGAAAATTTTAAGAAGGCTTACAGAGTATTAGCATGTTGAATATCAGCTTCAAGGGCCTTGACAGATTCTCTGAAAGAAGATTTGTGGGTCTGTTTCTGCCGCATCAGTTCTCACTTTGTTATGTTTTTTAGGAGAAAGAAGGGAATAAAATGACAAAAAGAGAAGGCTTTTTTGAGAGGGTTTTAAAGGGCTGAGAGAGAGAGAGAGAGAGAGAGA